CATAAAATTCTCTCTCAACAGCTGCTGCTTTTGATGCCTTATCAGCCTTATCAGCCTTATCAGCCTCATCTTTCGCCAGTTCCCTCGCCAAAGTCAATTCACCTTGGCAAGTAAGTTCTTCCATGAACTTTGCATAATCGTTCTTGGAAGCACTCCCTTTTCTCTTTGAAGCCTTCTTACCTTGAGGCCTAATTGGAAAACGGGTCGAACCCGACGCTTGTTCAGGGAGGGGCGTTTCGGGCACTTCTTCTGCATCATCTGCTCTCTCATGATCGGGTGTAGAGTGTAGAGGGGTGTTGTTCATGTGCACTTCTGGACCAACTGGCACAACTCTAAATTTAGGACAATCTTTGACAATATTCCAACATTCCCACCGGTTGAATGATTTATTTTTGCTTTTGGTTTTGGCAGCGTACCAAGCTTGTGCTTGAAGTTCCTACACAACAAAAATAAGTAACAAATAAATAATACAAATAAATAATTATAATGAAAATAAGTAACTAGCAAATATATACATATATATATATATAAGTAACAAAGATAATGAAAATAAGTAAGAAGGCTTCAAGTTTAGTAAATAATGAAAATAATTAACAAATAAATATATATATATATATATGTCATGTTAATCATAACAAGCAAATATATATATATATATATATATATATGTCATGTTAATCATAACATGGGGCTAGAGTTCCAAGTTTAGTAAATAATTTTAACCTTAAATATACACATTTTTTTTTCTTAATGTAAGTGATATTATACATTAATTTTAATGAAAATAAGTAACAAATAAATAATACAAACAACATAATTATAATGTAACAAATAAATGTAACAAATAAGTAACAATAACATAATTATAATGTAACAAACAAATTAATAATACAAACAACATAATTATAATGTAACAAACAACATAATTATAATGTAACAAATAAGTAACAATAAATAATAAATTTTGTACGTAACAAATAAATAATACAAACAATAAATAATAAATTATATAGATAACAAATAAATAATACAAACAAATAATTATAATGTAAATTTGGGTATCAAATAAATAATATCTTGTTACCATATCCGAGTAATTTTCCCCACTTCGAATATTACTACTAGCTTGTGCCAAAGCGTCTCTCCACGTACTAAACGATTGGTTAAGTAATTTCCAACGACTGGACATCGATTCTTTGGTTCTTTTCCCACCAATTTTCTCAAGATAATTGGTATGAATAAGACTCCACATTTCTCGCAACTGCATCTCATTACCCGTAAGCGAACTATGAGTAACTTCAACCCAGCTAGTACACAACGCAACATCTTCAATAAGCGACCAATTCGTACCTGCACCAGTGGTCATTTTGTTGAAAAAAAATGGATTCAAACTTTGAGACAAAGAAAGGAATGTGATTGAAAGTAGTTGAGAAAATATGAAATTGTTGTGTAAGGTAGATGATAATGAGAAGGTATTTATAGAAAAGTAAAAACAATTTTTTTTACAATTTTTTTCAGATTTTTCAGATATTTTTTTGAATTTTTTTGAATTTTTTACAATTTTTTTTAAATTTTTATTCAATTAATTAATCTCTGCCGTTGGATATAAAAAAAATTTGAATTTCAACGCTCCAGATTGTGCCACGTGTCACAACGGTAACTTTTCAGATTTTTTAAACTATTTTTTCATTTATTTTTTAATTTATAAAGTATTTTAATATCCACCGTTGATCTCAGATCGAACGGTGGATATTAAATCTGACACTTTTTTTTTTTTTTACCGTTGAGATCTAACGGTCCACATTAAGTGACCGTTAAGATCTAACGCACCGTGGGAAGCCACGTGGCTTCCCAACGGTAACTGACATAACCCTTTTTTTTTTTTCTGATTTTTGTGTCGGGATGCGCCCCCACGCGCGGGTGGGGTGCACGCGCCTGACACAAAAAAAATTAAATAATACGCTGACGCCACCCTGGCGTCAGCCTTGCGTCACTCCCACCTCGGGCTCAAGGGCTGGCAATCCCTCACGGGCCCTTTGCTCGGGCCTCCCCCTTCCACCGGGCTGCCTCACGCTGGAGGCCTACCACCGGCCCTCGGGCCATTGTTTTGGACACTGTCCCCCGAGCAATTTGCTACGGTGGGAATGCTCTAAGAGTGTCACAGATATTGGGTTCAACTTCAACTAGATGCTAACACAACAAACTCATGAATTAGGAGAAGGGAGGGGGTGGGGGGAGCCTTGGATTCCACTATGACACTAGCCCTTCTCTCTTGTGACTAGGAATTAGGGTTTGGGACTAATAGTACTACGCAGCTAAGGATTTGAATTATTTTTCTAATGAGTTTGTAATTGTGCAGTTATGGTACTTTTTTATATTATTTTTTCGTGTATGTCTTCTTGATTTATTTTAAGAACCACATTTGGCATGTCTTTTTTATGTACGTTTTTTTACTATATTCTTAAAAAAAAAGTATTTATAAAAAAAGTAAATATTAAAAATATGAGTAATTCTCAATTTACTATCATAAAGTATCATGGTTTTCAGACTTTCATACATTAAGTCTTTTTTTATCCTAGTCTCATACCTAAAAGTTACATTTTTCTTCCAAATTCATACTCCGTTAGGTTGACCATTAGTACTCCGTTAAAACGTAACGTGGCTCATATGTGGACAATAATTGTATATCCACACATTACTGTGGCTCCACGTGGATAATTAAAAATAAAATAAAAAAACTTTGCAAATTAAAAATTAAAAAAATTTCAAAATGTATTTTTTTTCCTGTCATCTTCCTCCCAAAAGAAGAAGTTCGATCCCAAGAACCCCAAAACTCAGAACCCTAAAACCAAAATTTCATGATGTGGATCTTGGCACCAACATCACCTAAGACCCTGAGCTCGACTCGGTCATTGAGGGAAGCGTCTTGAACTAAATCGACGGTGTCGGCTTGGAGCACATTGACTCAATAAACGACGATGGTGGCAACGACTTGGCAGATAATGTGGGCATCCTGGTAGAAGTCGAGGATGAAGGCATTGCCCAATGGGATCCTGCGGTACATGACAATGAACCTGGACTCGCTGTACTTGTTCCCAACTTTGTTTGGGTTATCAACAGAGAAAAGCATGGGAATGTTAAAGGAGAGGAAGATGGAGGTAGGGTTTTGGATGCAGTCGGCGATCAGGGTGGGTTTGGGGGAGTTGATGCCCATGTACTGGATGCCAACTTGCTGGAGACGAACTACGACTTCTTTGGCTTCATGGCGATGACGAGGAGGGCTAGGAAGGACACGAGTAAGGGCTGGTTTGGTATTGCTATGCTTAAAAAAAAAAAAAAAAAAAAAAACTGCTTCTGCTGTGCTGTGAGAATAAGCTCATTTTTGCTGCTTCATGTTTTCAGCTTATTTTCATCCAAAACTGTGAAAATAATCTATTTTTAAATGTCTACCAAACACCTTTTTTAGCTCAGCTTTTTTTAATACCCACTTTTTATAAAAACACATAAGTACCAAACCAGTTCTAAGAAGAGGCGGCAACAGTAGCAACCCTTGAAGAAATTGCTTAATTTATTTTAATTGTTTATCTTTTATTTTTTTAATTAATTTTTAAAATTTAAAATTGTTTAATTGTCCATGTGGAGCCACAGTGACACGTGGATATACAGTTATCATTCACATGGGAGGCACGTCATGTTTCAACAGAGTTACTAACAATCAACTTAACGGAAGTATGAATCTGAGAAAAAAAACATAACTTTAGACATAAGACTTGGTTGAAAAAAAAACTTGATGTATAAAAATTTGAAAACCACAATATTTTAGGATAGAAAAATGATAATCACCCGAAAATATATATATATATATATATATATAACAACAACAAAAAAGTATTCGAACATTATCACTTTTACAGGTGCAAACACTTCTTTTTAAGAATAATATTTCCACGTGCATAACATTTATTAAGTGTAGTGTTGACTGCGTCTCTTTTTGTCATACAAGATTAATTGTTTCCAAACCATTTCTACAATCAGAATGAGACTTGCTCATTGTTTTAATTAACTATGTATCATGGTTGTTGCTCTTTTAAATTGGCGTGACTTGAATAAAATAATTGTATTGAGAAAACTCATTATGGCTCCTTGTCACAAAACAAACAAGAACTCGTGACCGCTTAAAAACGAATCTTTTAAAATATGAAAACCTACAATTTTAAATAATACATTTATAATTTAAATGAAAAACTCATACATTTTCTGTTTAAGAGAACAATGATAAAATATTAAGTCATTGATTTCATCATTTGAATTTTACATGCATGATATGAATTTTTAAGTAATCAAATTATGTCAAATAAGAAAGGATTTTCAAATTTGATATTAGGTATTGATTTGGAAACATTCTGTCTATGATTTATTGGTTTCAAATATATGACATTTATTGGCCAATGGAAAAAAAAATCTCTAGACACAAAATTTATTTAGTTTGACCCAATGGTAAAAACATCAAAGTTTTTCCTTACTTTATAATTTACTTAGTTTGACCCGATGAGTTAACAACTTTTAATGCATTTGTTCTAAATTAAAGAGGTGTTAATTTGTCCTAGTATTCTAATCCTCACTATTATCTCATTCTCAGAGTTATGTGGGTTCATGAATTTTTGGCATTCGGAGAGACTGCCAGTTTGTCACCAACGTTAAAGTGTCAAATCTGATGTAAAGCAAGATTGGCTTTCAGCCTTGTGAGAAATCCAAAGACAAAACCCTCATATAAAATGACAAACCACTCGCATGGCCACCTCTTCCCCTTTTCTTATCTTCCTCACACTCGTCAATCCCTCACTAGCAAACCCTAACTAACTCTTCAAGACAAAGACAAAACTGATCACTTACAATGAAAAGCCATGCCTATATGTTTGTCCAATCTATTTGTTATTGCCATTGTAGTGAGATAACTGTATAAAGATTTCTGAGTGCTAGGAAAATTAACCATCTTTCTCTCCTTAGTTTGAGTCCCGCTCCATTTCATCAATTTAGTTATTGAGATCTACACAATCTTGTTTAGCCAATTTGAGATGAGGTATAACAAGATTGGTGAAGCTACCTCACATATATATTTTCTGCTTTTGTCCAAGCTATTCGACCACCCCATCAATGACGATGAAGAAGATGGACAAGATTCTCAGCATCGGCCATCGACCATTTCTTCAATGGTAAGTTTTATGAACGCTTTTGTTTTTTTTCATACCATATTTGCATGTATGTGTTTTTTTTTTTTTTTTGGTGCATCTGAATTATATTCATTATTTTTTGTTCAATTGATTTGAATAGGTTCTTGAAGAGATCAAGCAGTTATACAACATAGCTCTGCCAATGATTTTGACTGGCCTCATGGTGTATGCAAAATCAGCGATTTCAATGTTCTTTTTGGGAAAATCGGGAAAAGGGGAATTAGCAGGAGGGAGCCTAGCCATTAGTGTGGCCAACATTAGTGGTTACTCGGTTATTGCCGGCCTCGCTTCAGGCATGGAAGGGATCTCATCACAGGCATTTGGAGCCCAACAATGGCCTCTCATGTCTCACATCCTCCAACGCACTATCACCATCCTCATCCTCACCTCCATCCCCATTTCCATCTTGTGGTTCAATTGTGAGCCGTTACTTATCTTTTCGGGCCAAAACCCAACAATCTCATCCACGGCCACAACCTACCTCACCTTCTCTATCCCAACTTTATTTTTCCAATCTATCATAAATCCCCTCAGAATCCACCTTAGAACCCAAAGCATCACATTCCCTTTAATGCTTAGTGCTGCAGTGGCCCTTGTGATTCACACCCCTGCCAGCTATATCCTTGCATGGCATTTTGGCTTAGGCATTCAGGGTGTTGCCGTTGCTGAAACCTTAACCGACATGAGCTGTCTCATAACTCTTATTCTATACTTGTGTGTTTCAAATATCAGCACAAACACATGGCAATGGTGGTCCATCCGATGTTGCTTCAATGGCTGGAGCCAAATTATATGTCAAGCAGTCCCAAGTTGTGTTTCTGTGTGCTTAGAGTGGTGGTGGTATGAGATTATGATTATCCTATCAGGGCTTCTCGGTAATGCAGCTGAAGCTATGTCTACCATGGGAATTATAATTCAGGCCACCGCGCTGGTCTACCAATTCCCCTATGCATTAAGTCAAGCTGTTTCGACTCGGGTGGGGAATGAGATAGGCGCCAACTATCCAAAACATGCTAAGCAATCATCGTTTATTGCATTGTATTTTTCCATTCTCACAGGGCTTATAATATCCACTTTCTTGCTCACAATGCATAATGTTTGGGGGGAAATCTTCACGGCCGATCGAGCGGTTATATCACTGACTGCTTCTGTGTTGCCTGTGGTAGGGTTGTGTGAGCTTGGGAACTGCCCTCAAACCACCGTTTGTGGTGTGTTGAAAGGTAGTGCGAGGCCGATGTTGGGTGTGATGATCAACTTTGGTGCTTTCTATGTTGTTGGGTTACCTATGGCATTTTTAATGGCATTTGTGATGCATTTAGGCTTGTTGGGCCTATGGTTGGGCCTTCTAGCAGCCCAAATGGTTTGCTTTGTTGTGATGGTTATTGTGTTGATCAGGACTGACTGGGTGGCGCTAGTGGAGAGATCTAGAGAGCTCACTAGTGCTGGTGTGGAGGAGATTTTAGCGAACGAATTCTATGAGGACTTGGTATATGCTATTATGCTAGTTAATTAGGAAATCAAGATATCTATCGATCGACTTGTCTTTGTCTCTTGTTTTCTTTCTTAATAAAGCTTAACCTTTTTTAAGGTTACGTTTATGTTTAAATAAAATAAAATTTTCTTTATTATATTTGTATATTGTGTGCAAGCAAGTAACAAAAACGAATTGTACAACCTCTCTTGGACCCCATCAAGTTGAAGCTTTTCCGGCCTTCATTTTGGTCTTTCAAAACCTTAGCAACTAAAAAGAGAAAATACATGAAGAATTTTCTCCTGTTAGACAATCAGAAAAATTATATCACAACCAAATAGTAATAACAGGTAAATCAACTTTTTAGATCATATTTGCAAATTATGTGGTATTTCACCAATAAAAAAGTTCATGTTAAACAACACTTAAGTAATAACTGCTAAACAATAATTTAATATTAATCTAGCTAAAGAATATTATCAAAGATATATGGTTTTTTATCTATAATTTATAAGTCAAAGTACAAGTGTTAATATAACTGCTAAACAATAATTTAATATTAGTCTTATTTCTAAAAAAATAAAAGACTTTCACTTTGTCAGAGAGAGAGAAATGTTTTGGTAGATAAAAGTTATTGTAAAACGTGTAAGGTTCGGTTTGCTTCTCTTTAGAAACTTACTGCATGATTGTCGTCATGGGTCAAAATATTGTCTATAAATGTGGGTCCTACAACATGTGAGTCATAAGCGGCATCTTATCCTGTAATGGGTCCCATAAACCTCACCATGCAACTGACAACATAATTTGTTCTACCTTAAATCTCGCTCAAGCTTTTTCAAAACTTGAGTTGCGACAAGGGCAAGCTATTAGCATAATTAAAAATATAACAAAGTGGATACAAATCTTTACCATATTCTACCATAAGTAGTATTATTTATACACCTATTTTTACTTTCTACACATCTTTGTTAATTTTTATCAATTGATCTTTTTCAATTCATTTTATCTGACAGTTGAAAATTGTGAGAAGTGTGAGAGGTAAAAATGAGTCTCTTTTAGATAGTTTTCTAATTGTATTGTAATACTTAAAGGGGAATACTTACCTTACTTAAATAAAGACATAATGAGATGAGAAATCACACATCAGAATTCACTCAATTCTTTCTACTTCTCGCCGCACCCTCTCTTTCAATCTCTCTATAGTTCTTCAATTAAATAGACTTATAACATATTATCAGCACGCTCTTGACACTACGCTAAAAAAAGCTTGTTCATCTTTATTCAGGGAAGTATTGCATTTCAATCATTGTTATTATGATTAACTTTTTATTTATTATATTAGTATGCTTATATTGATTATACTTGGTTTTTCCTATACTGAACGTGATACAACACATCGGAACCGAAATTCCCAATTTTCAATAAGGATCTCCTATAAATTCAAAGGTTTTATTTCGTTTTCAACCAATTAGGTTCTTCCAATACACATACTAGATATTTTATAAACCCTTAGTTGTATGAAGACATTCCAAATGATGCATGAACCCCATACTATTATTTCATAGTTTTACTATTATATATATATATATATATATATTGCATATTCTAATAGGGAATTGTTATTAGCACTCAAAAAATCTCATTTGGCACTCTAAACTTTTTATAATTAGAAAGAAAAATACACTTGTAAGGAGTGTCAAATGAGATTTTTGGAGTACTTATAACAATTCCCATTTCAATATATATATATATATATATATAAGTATGTTAATGCACACGCAATTAATATTTCATATATTTGATTTTGCAATATGTGTTATATTTTTATGAAATTGTTATGTGGAATTATGTGAGTCAAAGAAACCAAAAGAAAATAGAAGCACAAATTAGGGTTCTAAAAACTCAGGAAAATGAGAAAAACAAAAAAGGGGAATCGTGGTTGAGCCGTGGCCTGAAGTCACACTGCCACGCCGCATCTGAGTCTATGTCGAGTTGAAAGTAAAGATAGGCAAAATACCCATGGGTTTGGGTAACCGCGGTTACCCACCGATTTAAAGTTTACGATTACGATTATGGGTAACCGTTTAAACGAACAAACGGTTTTGGGTATAACCGTTTATCTGTGAAATTTAAATGGGCGGTTATGTGTATTATGCGTGGTTATAACGGGTATCCATCGATTATGGGTATTACCCGCGATTATAACAGATATTCATTTACCCATTTAATTTAATATATGTAAAACTCTAAATTTTCAATCTCTCTGCCAGACTCAGAGTCTCAAACCCCTCATCCCCCTCTCATCTCTTCTCCATCGCTGCCCTCTCTCTCGTCTCCACCTCTCATCTATCTCTCCTCGCTGCCTTCCTCCCATTGGCCTTGCCCTAAGTTCTGCTGCTCGTCCATGGTCGCCTCCATATCAAATACAAAGAGAGAAAAAGTTGTAGAGAGAGAAGGGATTAACAATTGGAAATTGATTTAATATTTTTTGTGTGGGAATTATGTACATTATTATTTTTTTTAAATTGGAAATTTTAACGTTTGTTTTATTTAAAATTATGGAGTTTGCAAAGAGAAAAATGAAAGAGGGCAGTGCAGTGAGCGTTCGTTTTTATAGCGAAGGAGAGAGGGGGATAGTGAGAGAGGAAGGTCGAATAGGAAAGTTCCGGAAAGTACCCGACCCGATTATTTGGAGCCCTACACTGCCGTTCCCGATGTTTGCTGGGTGTAATAGAAAAATATCGTTTGTAAACTATTATTTCAATTATTGGAATTGTATGAGGACTTAAATGATTAAAATAAAGAAATGCATGCTAAAATGTACCTATAACGATGTTTAATTGTATAAAAATGAAAATTATGACAAAATTTATTTTTGTAATTTTCAAGTTGTTAAAAAAAACATGTAAATGGGTGAAAAAGGGGTAAATGGGTAAAAAAAGGATAAACGGGTTCAAAAATGGGTAAGTAGGTAAATGGTTGTGGTTAAATAGGTAAACAGTTATGGTTAAGTGGGTACATGGTTATGAGTATGGTTAACCTTTTATAAACGGTTATAGGTATGAGTATAACCGTTTATACAGGTATAAATATAAACTGTTATGGGTAAATAACCGCGGTTACCCGCCCGTCATAACTGTTGCCCATCCCCAGTCGAAAGCTCTGTCTCATGCACAAAACAACGCCATTGGCGTCTGGACCCAAACATCAACCCTCTAACTTGCTGCGTGCAAGACCAGCCCATTTTGGGCCTCCCTTCTCTGCTGGACAGGCCTGTTCAACTGATCCACTCGTTGGGCCCTTTATCTAACCAAGCTTGAAACTTGCTGCTGGCTGTTCCCCTCGGCCCGTGCTCTGCTGCAGCCTGTAAACGCACATTGGGCTTGTTTGTCTCGGCCCATGACACTGCAACAAGCCTGCAGCAGCCCGCCCGAGCCCAACAGCGTGAAGTTTTTGCTACAGAGCCTTGTTTACCATGCAATACATACTTGCTGGGCTGAAACATTTTCTCGGCTTAATATTAATTTTCGGCTTCATAGCTTAGTAGCCGCACCAAATTATGGGCTGTCATTGGCTCAAGCCTAATTAGGCTATATTTTCTTAATCATTTAACCTTAAGTCATCTAAAGTGAATATAACCCAAATATCATTAATTTGTTTTCACGATCGATCCTGTATGGTCCCAATCTATAAAATTAATTTAAGTGATCAATAGTCCATTAATTTGACAAAAATCCAAAATGGCTTGCATTCCACTTTTTGGAACTAATGATGCAGTATTATGTCTTTTATGTGAATCGTTAATATCCTTTCATAGCTCCGAAGCTATTCACACTTGGGTTCCTAAATCAATATCAAATTCACTACACTTAGATGTATATTGTATTTTGTATTATTGCAACTACCCTTTTATGAACTAGAAGTTCATCTAAGCTCGAACCTGTAGTTTCGTATTTAGTGCATTTGAAACTTGAAGTTTTCATAAAACAATACACCTAGGGAAAACCCAAAGTTTTTCATGCAAACTAAACCAAACCATATCTTAGAACCCCGAATGTTCTAACTTTGATGCTTATGGAGGTTTTATTTCCAATAGCACCAACCACAATCTTGTTCCTTCCAACAAATTGTCAAATGATCAAAAGTTCGATTTCTTGAATTAGGAAGCTTTTGACAAAGCACTTTATGTGGGTACAAGATGTGAAGCTCCACTTGACTATGCAAAAGTTGAGAATACATTCGTCAATGAATAGGTATAATTCTAACATTTAGTAAACATGCCGTAAGAGGAAAAAGTGAGAGATTAGTTTGCATATGGTCCAATATCTTGATGGTTTAAGATGTTGGATTTCTATCAATGCATCTCGCATTTGAAACTCCCCTCCCTACATTATTGTAGTAGTTTCAAATCCTCCCCTTCCCTTAATAATAATAATAATAATTTAAAAAAAAAAATTCATAAGAGGAGGGAGATTAAGCTAAGTTGCACAATGTGCAAACTATAACTAGGAATCGAACTCGACACAAATATTATACCTCGGATAATACTTGCATCCCCATGGGCATAAAGTACATATCTCACCCCTTAAAATAACGTATTTTCACCACATAAATTTTATAATCAAAAAAGTTCAATTTCTTAATTTTCATTTGAAGATCATCTTTATAAAAAATAAAAAAAAAGTATTCGAACCAGAGATTGTTTATGCATCCAAATGTATGAATGGATGGTGTGAGTACCAAGTAACATATTCATTATGAACCGTCCATCAATGTGATATAATTGGATCACTATCAATCTCCAATTCGAATAATTTTTCTGTAGGGATGATCTTCAAATGAAGATTAAAAAACTAAATTGTTCTGATTATGAAATTTATAGGGCAACATTATTCGTACATAGTGATAAATGTGCATTCTCCATGTGGGATGTAAAGTATTATCCATATATATATTTATTTATTTATTTATTTATATGTCTTCGTCATTTGTGTGGGTCAAACCTTATGTGTAGTCTAGATTTATTATTTGGCTTCCCTTGTCAAATATTGTAAATTGTACCACTATGCACTAGTTAGATTTAGGGTTAAAATGCTACTTTGGGATCTTGCTGTTGGAAATATCATTTCAAGGGCTTAACTTCTTACATCAAAGGTTTGTTCATATATATGCATTTCACGCCATCATTTTCAGTTGATTCTGTCTAGTGGTTCTGTCTAGCCAAAACTTATTGCGTAATGTTCTTCATTGAATATTTCTAAACCTATCTTTGAAATTGCTTGCTTAAATTCGTTTTATATGCTCATTTGTTTCGGCTGGGAGTTTTACGTTTTCATAGAATAGTTGTTTTAGCTTTGAGCTGCCTCCTTGAGTTCCTCATGAGAAACCCTAGCCACAAAATCACACTCATGCATTAAACACCCAAATAGTTGCATATTAGGGTAGCTCTGTCATTGTGATTTTGTTTCAAGTTTTTGGTCAAGATTTTTCAAGTTTCAAGTCTTTAAACTGACGTATTTTTGGATTCACGTCAGTTTCATCTTTCAAGTATTTGACTGGTGAAACTGACTAAACATCCAAAAATAGGTTAGTTTAAATATTTGAAACTTGAAAAAACTTGACCACAAAGTTAAACAAATCACAATGACAATGCTACCCTAATGGTGATACTGACTAGACATCGAATCTAGATTTGCATCCACTTCATCATAACATCACTTGCATAAGTTGATTTGATTTTGGTGCCACAAGGTGAAGAGCTCAGGAGGAGCTGCCATTTCGTGAAAATCGAAGGAATCCATCTCGTGAAATGCAAGGTTGCACAAAGGTACAAGCTGCTCCATAAATTAGGATCTAGGAATTGAGCTTGTGTGGTTACTTTGTAAGAATCTTGATTTTACTAGTGGATTGGACTCAGTGGAAAGTCCCCAGTTTTTTTAACCCAGAGGTGGGTTTTTTCGACCAAAAACTTCTTGGGTTCTTTCTCTTAAGCTTGTCCACATATCTTATTTACTTGCATATGTTTCATGCATCCTATGAATTGTTATTTGATATGTGTTACAGACTAAGTTTACACTGCATATTATGAGCAATGAACTGATTTGTTGTTGACTAGGATAACTCGTAGTGAATTAAGTTTGATTCATAGATTTGCTTTTGATTAACTGACGAATCTGTACTTAGTTGACTGGTAAGCTTGACTAGTCGATCCAGCATACTTTAATTCATAATTGCTTTATTATTATTGTTTGCATAATGAACTGATATGTAAATGTGTTCAAGTTTAGGAATTATTATTGGGAAACTAATCTGGACAAACTTTGATTAGTTGAACGTATTGGTCAGTTAGGTTTTGTTCTTACAACTACCCTTTATATCACTACTAACTTGTAACTAGTTGACTAGCTCATTTGACTAGTCTGCTGTGCAAGTTAATTTTTTATTTGCAGGATATTCCGCCTAGTACCAATTTCACCTTATACCTATTACTTACAACTAAAAAAAGGATATCATTTGACCATTATATAATGTGAATATTTCTCAGAATATTTAAGTATTAAATTATGGTGTTGAAATTAATTCAAGTATAGTTAACAATAGGGTATCACTACAAAGAAAATGGAGGGTGGTTCTATTGCTAGTGCTACTCCTTTATTGAAGGCACCCCCTCATCACTCATATAACACTAGGGGTGGGTATGGTTCCAACCAAAATTTCGGTTCGGTTCCGTTTTCTTTCGGTTTTTTGCGGTTCGATTTTTTTTTCAGTTTGGTTTTGTTCGGTTCAGTTTCGGTTCAACTCCTTCTTTTTTTTTAATACGAAATCTAGAAAAGGGGCTTGCATGGTACATATAAAAAGTAAACCCAAGCACATCATTTACATACTCAATACAAATTGGCTTCTTAGAAGTTGCCTTCCAAAACTTTCCTCTATAACCAATGGAATAACGTCCCTAATTGAACCAAGTATGCTTCTTGAAAAGCTCTAGACTTAGTTTCAAACTTGGCAACAATGTTTCACAAAAGAAACATGATGAGCGTACATTCATAAAGTGTAAAGAAATTCAGTTCAGTTTCTGAACCTCCAAAACCGAAATCGAACCAATAAATTTCGGTTCAGTTCTTCTTTTTTTTGGGTTCGGGTTTTTTTTTTTTTTTTTTTTTTTTAGATTTTCGATTTTTTGAACCCAGCATCTCCAAAAGAGTCTATTTGACATTAAACCTCACCAAATACAACTTTTCTAAAAACCTGAATAACATCTCTAGTGAGTCACTACTACAAGAGGAATTAGAAGGGTGTGATACTGATACAGACTAAGAGTAATAGAGTTATGGGTAATGCTAGGTAAATTAAATTTTGAAATCAAATTTTGTAAGCTAAATGATGTGGTTGTTGATATAATATGCATGTTTTCCTTTCCTTTTTTTTATTTTTTTTCTTGAGATATAATCAATTAATCATCGATATTAGATGAGCAATCCTTTACCAATATGGTGTTTATTTCATCGTCATTTTATAGAATATTCCACTCAACTAACACAAGAATGTGCAACTTTATTTGGTGGCGTCATGGCATATACCAAAATTGAGGTTTGGAATAGAAATCACCAAGATTATCATTTTATTACAATTTGCAAAAATAGGGACGTTGTGGGTACGAATATCAATGATTTGAATTGTTTATTTTCAAGTTTCAATTCATAGATCTAATTGAGGTCAAAGAAATTAACGAACATTATGTTCTAAGAAACATTAAAATTTCATCATGACAATCAAATGGGCAAATGTTTTGAATTGAATTGATTTTTTGCATGAATAATCTACGAGGTGCAACTTGAAAATAGATAGTTCGGATTTAGGTTAAGTAATGCAAATCCCTACCCTTAAGGACCGTGTGTTTGTGTGTGTATAATTCCTTCAGTTGTTTCTTTCTTCAATGAATTTAATCGGAAAGTGAGTGTGGAATAAGAATACATCGACCAATTTCATGTTGTGCTCTTTTTTTTGTTTTTTTTAACTTTGAATCCGAATTTGTTTTGACAATGCGCGGGAATCTCTCTCTCTTTATATTATTCCTCAACAGATAAGACCCCAACACATTATATAAGATGGTAGTTTCATGCATGCAGTAGTATTCATCGCATTAGTCATATATATTACAATTTAATTTCCTCTGAATAAAACAAAAATGTCAAATTTCAGCTTTTTCAGGTTTCAATATGGCACTCCAAGAAAGCCTCCAAACAAACCAGCTCCCCAAATGAGTAATATCTCCAAAGAAACAACCCAAGTGAGCTTCTCCAAAGAAAGGTCTAAAAGGTCTCGTTTTTCAAGGCCTTCATCCCAACCAAAAGTGGAGGAAGTAAGATATGTGTTCGATAAATTCGACACGAACAAAGATGGTAGAATCAGCAGGGAGGAGTACAAGTCGGCTCTCAAGACCCTGGATAAAGACATTGCAGAGGGTGAGATTGCCAAGACATTCAAGGCCCTTGACTCTGATGGGGATGGCTTCGTTGGGTTCACCGAGTTTGTGGAAACGTTCAACATGGGAAATGATGAGGCAAGAAAGGCGGACATCGAAAGCGCGTTTCGAGTGTTCGATGTGGATGGGAATGGGAAAATAAGCGCAGAGGAGTTGTCTCTGGTGTTGAAGAAGTTGGGAGAGAATTGCAGCCTTGGGGCTTGTAGGAATATGGTGAAAGCTGTGGACTCTAATGGTGATGGTTTAATTGACATGAATGAGTTTACCAAAATGATGGGAAGCTTCAAAACACCAACTGTTTAAAGAGATATATGTATATATAACTTGGTTTTCCCATACCATGTTATATACGGTCAAGTAATTTGGTTCTAATATTTGTAAGGGATGTTTGCTTCTGTTCTTAAATAAGCTATATCAGCTGGATGTCTGTCTTTGCTTCTAACATTACTATTTGCAAAGAGTAAAATAGATACATCTCCTCTTTTGGAGCATGTATGACTAATATAACTAATCAATTTTAGTGACCTCCTCACAATATGCATGGAAAACGAAAAAATTTCCTTGTATATAGGCCAACATAAAAGCTTTGGTGCTCTTAATTTGTAGGGCCCTGTGCGGTCGCATTGCTAACCCAAATCAGTGGCTAATATGATATCGTAGCTTTGATAAGTGCTCATGTTTGCTATGCTAGTTTTCATGTCCAAAGTCTGATTAATCAGCTTATGAATAAATAAATCTAAAAGGAGAAACTTGGATGCTGTAAGATAGCTTAACTCTATGGCATATCATGGAAGTTTTTTTTTTTTTTTTTGGACAAGCATGGCATATTATGGAAGTTAAAATGATAAAAACGATGAGATTTGCTAGAATACGTGCACAAAAAATTTACTTTGTCATTACGGCCCAGTCCATGATTAAGAAACAAAAATCCTAAATCTTAGATATCTTTTATGTATAAAGCCGGAGGCCCATTTTGGGGTCACCCTCTTCGACAAAAAAGTGTTGGACACAAATGCCCCTCAGCCAAAAAAATATCAAAGCAATAAAAAAGTATGCAGAAAATAAAGCAAGGGTAGTTTTGTAAATTTATTTTTTAATAATATCCTGCATCTTCAATCAGTCTACAGTCTTCCACCGCTTCATTCTCGCTTTGTGCTTTCTGCTTTTGTCGTTCTCTCTCTAAAAGATTCTGCCTTCTCTCTCTAAAAGTCCTCTCTCTCCTCCTTCGCCATACCCAAGCTTTTCTCTGTCGGTTTGCTTTCCTGATTTCTGGTTTTCCCTTTTGCTCCCTGCGTGCAGATCAGCAGCTGCACTGCTGTTCTTCCTCTCATCCTCCTTAATTCTTCCACTCCAAAAACTTCATTTCATCATAACTTTTTCATAAGGCAACGAAATTGCACAAGGTCGGAGCCTATAAATTCGTATCAGAACCCTCTTCCATATGATATGACACCCATACCTCAAAATTAACTGTGCTCAAAGATCGGAGCCTAGAACAGTGACGGTTTTTTGGCGAAGTTTTGCTGATTCCGCCCAATCCCGCCGGAATTTGGTCTCGACCCAAGTTCAACTTAAAAGCAAACAACGTTAGCGGTGTACCTGATAGCTTGCACTACAACACCTTGAACGTTGGTGGGTGTTTGGACATAGGATCAACTATAACTGGAACAGGAGGAAGATGGTGTGTGGACACAGGACAACAACATCCATACATGTACCAGCAACAGAAAGGGATGACGACGTCTGGAAACGGACAATTTGAGAATTGGGGTGATGATTCAGCCATGGCTAACAACAGCCAGCAGATTGACACTTAGCCTAGTTTGGTACTGGCTGATTCTGAAAAACGTGGCTATAAAAAAAACCTCCCAGCTTCAGTTTTTTTTTACAGTTTTGAGTGAAAAAAAAAGTCGAAAACACAAAGTTGCAAAACTCAGCTTTGAAAAACCAGTTTTTTTTTCACATTTGTTTTACATAAAATTTTATCAAACACTATAATACTGTTTTTTTTTTTTTTTTTTCAAAAACACTTTTACAAAAAAGTTTACTAAACACTCTGCTGTTTTATTTCACAGCTGCTTATTCTCACAGCACAATATAAACAGTTTTTTTTTCAAAGCACAACAATATCAAACAAACCTTTAAACGGATGTCGACACGATGACAAAAAGCATTTATCACCACCTCTCTATGTGGTCTCTGTTTCACGAGCATATGTGCCTGCTAGATTGCTACCATACTTTTTCATGGGAATCTTTCTATAGCCTTAGTGGAATTGAGAATCATTTGAAATTTGGAATTTTGGATTACCATCCATGTTGTTTCAAGCTTCAAACAACATGTAGACGTTTGTTTGGTCAGTTGGGCTCACGGCTCATGGCTCCTTTGCATTATAATTCGAATCTCCCTCTTCTAAATTATAGTAATTTAGAAAATTGCTTTGTCAATTAAAAAGATAGTTTCCATAATGTTTTCGATTCAATTACTACCTTAATAACATGGCCCATATCTAAGTTGATTTGCTTTAAATCTGCATATTTTACTGTAAACTTTATTTAGCTTTCTAATTTTTTAGTGTCAGTGGATTAATATGAGATACGATTTTGTTTTAGCTTCATGGGGTGCAGCATGGAGCACTAATGGTAGTGGATTCCACAGAGCAGGCAGAGGAAAGAACAACTGGTGACCAAAAGGTTAGAATATTTGGATTATTGATGAAAGTGATTTTATTAGAAAGGTGAAAATTTTTACCAAATTACCGTACCAACCGCCCTACTAGCCATACCATATTAAATTATTATAAAAAATTTGTATCAATTGGTAATGGTATTGTATTTGTACCGTATCATACTATTTCGGTACGGTATTGGTGTCCAAAACTAGTACCGGTGGTATACCATATCTACCAATATTATTAATATTATATTATGTATTTATTCATATAATTATTTGAGGGCAAAATTAATAAAATTAATAATAATTATTGTAGAAGTGTAAAAAATATAAAAAAAAATATACAATCACTCATAGTGACAAGCTTTACAACTTTCATGTAGAGGTCATCTTCAAAATCCAACGCTATAATCCATAAACCTTAAATTTATATTTAATCGTTGATTGATATTTACGCTTTATTCTTCTTATTGAATTTCATTTTTTGAAACCATGATCATCTGGCGGATGTAAGAAGATGAACCGTTCAGATCTTTGATATTACGTTTCGATATTTACGGTTAACTGAAATATGAGTAGATGTCATATAGGTTGTAGAAACTTTATAAACATCAAGCAATATTTTTACTAACCGTAAAACTCTAAACATAATATCAATGATCCAAACCGTACATCTTCCTGCATCCTTTAATAGATCATGTTTTCAAAAAAGAAAATCCGAAAAAAACAAAATTTAATGAGAAAAATGAAGCGTAAATGCAAACAACAATCAACGGTTAAATTTTGATCTATGATTTATATGATTATAATGGCGAATTTCAAAGTTAAGCTCTTCACGAAAGTTGTAAAGCTTGTCATTACAAGCGTTTATATATTTTTTCTATATTTTTTACACTTCTATATTAATTAAAAAATATTAGATTTTGGGCAAACTAAGTGGCGTAAAACAAAGTAGCAATTACCATTGGCATACCATACCAACTAAACTATTTGGTATAACGATATTTCGGTATACCGAAAGTTTGGTATGATAATGGTAATAGATTTTGCCATCTCAAATATTTGGTTTGGTAATTGGTACAGAGGTGTTGGTACGGTAATGTACCAAAACCACCCTATCAGAAAGTAATTTTTGATCTTAAATGCTAATCTGATTAAGCTAACTTATCTACAGACACTACGTAGGCTGGCCCAGAACAGAGAAGCAGCAAGGAAGAGTCGCCTAAGGAAGAAAGTATATATCTTTACTTTCCATCAGCACGTATTTGAATGTCTTTTTTCTATTTAATTTCATCGAGAGCTTCCCTATACCTTTTTAGTTCGTGACATCTTAGACTAATTATATAATGTTACGTGAGAGTGTTAAAACATATGGGATCACGTTATTTATTTGGCGTAACACACTGGCATACCAGGGTGTAGGTCTGTAACCCAGCGTCTAAATCTTTTAGCTATGTTGAGACAAAGTCTCGGTATCAACCCTGAAGATTCACTGCCAGGTCTATAAAAATTAAGTTTGTCTTAAATGCTTCTCAGCCTTCTCACTCTCTTAATAGCAAAGGCCTATTTTTTTAGCCTCCCTCGCCTTTTTCACTTCTCTTTTGGTTTAATTTTGTGGATTTTTGGCGTCTGATTTTGGTTTTTGATGTGATTGACTTCTTTGGTGTTTATTTTTGTAAGTTTTCTCAGTGGTATAGTGACTGCCAGAATTATTGGGTTTTCGTTTATTTGAATAATTTTTAAGTCGCCGGGTCTGTATGATTTTTGGTGAGTTTTGTGATTTTTTTACTGGCTTTAGTTCCTTTTTTGGTTTGTTCTGTATATTTACATGGGTTTTGTCTGTTCATTTCTTTTTTTCTGGATATCGTTTAGATTGATTCTATGAATGTGTCGTTGAGTTTTGCTTTTTATTTCAGGAGGTGCAGCTTTTCGTTTTATTTTGGCCTTTTTTATCTGATGTTGTAACATTTTTGTAATAGAGATGAGTAATTTACATTTTTTTTTCAAGTTGTTCTCTAACGAAGTAATAATTTTGTATGAATATTGTGAGACTTCACTTTTATATAATCTGATGCATAAATGTGTTTGATGTTATTTTATGAATATTTTAAATGGGTTAAGATGCATATCGTTGTTTAAAGGGTATAAAAAGTAGTTAGCTGCTGTTTTATGTATTTTTGGGGATTTTATCAAATTTGAAAAAGATGGAGACGAAATTGATTTCGAACAAATTAAAGAATGCAAAATTTTGGTTATTTGGTTATTGTTATTAATTGGTAATGAGCTATTCAACATTTTTATTTTAATTGTGAGAACAACTTCCGAATGACTTCCTCCTCCTATGTGTCTTCAAAAGTTGTTTTAGTGTACTATACAAAGGTTTTGACCTGTATGTCACCGAAGCCAATACCTGAAGGGGGCAAATTTCTTGGGCCGAACCTGTTTAAGTTGACTTTGATGTGCTGGAAGAAATGGAGGAATTTTACTGGCGCTTGAATTGTTAAGTTGACTTGGCTTAGCAGGATTTGGGCAATCTCAGAATTGTCAAACAAAACCTTTGATTTCCTGGATAGTTTTTGACTTGATATTAATCTAATTACATGTGAAGGGACAGGTCATAGCTCTAACAATTAGAGAGATATAGTGACTCTTGCTGCCTTCTTAATTCTTGTTCTCCTATTGTATACAATGCAGTTGATCTTTTGTGTTATTTGATACTTTTTTTAGTGGTTCTTGATAGCTTGAGTGATGCTTATTGAAAAAAAAAGGGTTTCAAAATACTATGCTTTCACGTTTCGGCATCTTTCCGTTTCTGTTTCAAGGATTTTTGCACTAAGAGTGAGTGATTCTAAAATTAGGGAATTGTTAACATCAGTCTCTGAAAAAACAAAAATGTGATCAATTCTTTTGACAAATGCAGGTGTTTGAAAAATTCAACTGTGCAAGTTGTGAAAAAAAAAAAGGGATTTCGAAATACTGTGCTTTCACGTTTCTACATCTTTTTGTTTCTGTTTCAAGGATTTCTGCATAAAGGTGAGTGATCTAAAATTAGGGAATTGTTAACATCACATTTTAAGCATTTGTTTTCGTTCTGTTTTTAAGTTTGAATAAACTTTGGTATTCTTTTAGCTTTTATCGTGTTTAAATTGAAGTCCTAATTTCAGTGGATTGTTCATGATTAGTGCGTTATGTTGTTTTACTATGTGTTTTATGTGTTTGTTAATTTATCGGAGTCTTCACAAGAAATGTTGTGTACAAAGATATTTTGCTTCCATCAAATATATGATAAGGTTATATTCATTCTTTTAATTTTTAATTCACTTTTTAAATCCACGCATATAAATACATTTAAATTTTATAAGTCGCACGTAGAACGCCGTAATTATAAAAAAAAAACCTTCCACGCACACGTGAACGCGTGCAGGGAGGCTAGTGTGTGTGTTTGTGTGTGTGTGTGTGTGTGTGTGTGTGTATTGCTCTAACCAGTCCCATCCCATTGTTTTGTCGACTTCCATCATCTACTTCTTAAGATCAAAATTGTACCGTAGATGATAGACAATCAATAGCTTCAAAAGTTTTACGTTTCTACGGAATGAATCAACAATTCATATCAAACTCACTTATCTTCAAACAACAAATTTCGCACGTTACAGATTGATAGGGGTTGGAGGGACTAAATCAAACTCAAACTCAAAACCACTTGAAAGCCAACTAGTAAAGAAGAGGGGACTGAAACTCAAACTCAAACCCACTTATAAAAAAAAAAATGGTTATGGTACCATGTTAAGCTATAAGAAATTGTGTCAAAAACGTATACCAAATCATATTTCCAACCCTCTTCACTAGTACATGAGCATTCATATGAAACAAAGGAAAGAAACATTTTAAAGTATACATGCTCTAGTCACGATTTAATGTTCACGATTTTTCTTAATTAATACACTAATTGAAGCCGTATATTGTGAGACAAATACCAATGTCCATACTTTTAGTGGCAGTGTATGTGAGATTGAAGTGACACGTGTGCTTGAAATGGTAATGTATCAAACTCAAGTTGAGTGATAGCATTGTGTTTGAAGTCACATGCATCACTCCGACACGTGTTAAAAGTGTTTGCACTTGGAGTGAACACGTACCGAAGAAAAACCACCAAGGTAATTTTGAAAGATGATAGATTGATGAAATGATTACTTAGTACTACGGTTTGGTAGTATTCTTCTTCATTTGGAAGTGAAATGTCTTAGGTTTGAATCTCGTGGATAGTGAATTCGATACCAAATTAGGTTGCCCATTGTGTGACTTTGTTGAACTCCCCCTCCCCTTAATGTAAAAATATCAATATACCCAAAAAAAAATTGAAGAAATGAAATAAACAAGGGCATTGATGTTCATCAAGAACGTTGATGACATTTTTCAATGCAACCATCATGTTCGCAATTGCCCAATCACTATAGGCTAATTTGGAATTACCTCTTTAAAAAACACTTATGCTCAGAAGTATTTTCAGTGAAAAATGTTTTCATTAAATACACATTGACTTTTTTTCCTTAAGAATCCACGTGTTCTTTGGAAAAAAAAAAAAATACTTAAAGTAGTTACTGAAAGAAGTACACGTTAGGTGCTTCTTCTAGAAAACATTTTAAGGCTTTTTTTAACTGAGAAGCATTGTAAAATTTTTTTGTCAAATATAGTCAGAAGAGTTTTTCGTAATCTAAAAATGCTTTTAATCGTTTTAAAAATATTTCCAAACAAACCCTATGTATTTCCTCCTATTGTTAATATTTTAGATGCACAAAAATCTAAAGCACGGATGGCTCTGAAAATTCATTTCTATGGAGAAATCAAATAATGTTCAAATGAAGTCAAATATACCAAAATTTACAGTTGGCACTTACCCAATAGTTCATAGAGCTTTATAAACTCGCTGCACTACTAAATATATTAGTAAGTATATAACAACTTTGTCACATATGCCTTGAAGCAATAACCAATTTTATTCTGTACTTTTTGTTCTTCTACGTTATTATATAATTGTATCCACCGCAATAATATTCTCTCCGTAAACTTTTTAGGAACGTTTGTTTAGCCTCGTTAGTTTTTATTAGACTAGACTGGGCTACTTGTTAGTCTAGTCTAGCGTTTGTTCTATGCATGGCTAAGTTTAATGGTACTAAATAGGATTGGTGTGGACTAAGTAACTCGCTAAGAGGTCTTAGCGAGTCCCCCTGAAAACGTCGGTACTCGGTACTACTAAGACTTTCGCTTCCTCTCCTTCACATCCCAGCACTTGCTTCATTTCTTTCCTAATAACGGGTAAGTTTCTTCTAGACCTGACAATTTCTTACACGACCAGTTAACACGACACGTAAACGACACGAAAATAACGAATTTTGGATCAACACGATAACTAATCGGGTTATTATCAGATCACGATAATAACCCGTTAATAACGGGTCCTTAACAGGTTTACACGCGAGTAACACACGGGTAACCTGTTTCGACACGAGAAGAAAAAAGTTATTTGATGATTTTAATTTTTTAAACTACTAAAAAAACTTACTATAAAATACAATAGATATAATGAATATGTATATATTGTTTATTAATTATTATTCTATATAAATTTTAAAATTTAAGTTTTATGTATTTATTTATTTTTATAGTATATTATAGCCAAAATTTGAGATTAAAAATCATAAAACACATTAAAAATAAAAATATCAAGTAATTTAAAAATACCAAACACATTAAAAAAATTATAATAATTAATTTACATGTGCGAAAAATATGAAAAAAAAATATGCAAATGCTCGTAGTCGCATCATCTATGCTTTGAGGATGGGTATATGATCGTTTGAATTTTTAAAACCATACAAACTCTCATGAATTGTAACATCCCATATTGCTCAGGGGAGTGTATCCTGTAAGCCTTATATGTATATTCTCATCTCTACCTAGCACGGGGCCTTTTGGGAGCTCACTGGCTTTAGGTTCCTTAGGAACTCTGAAGTGAAGCGAGTTGGGGGCGAGAGCATTCTCAGTAGGCCTGGCAAACGGGTCATGTCTGTCGTGTTCATGTCGTTTTCGTGTGACACCTGTTATCTTAACGGTCGTGTCGTGTCACACACATTATCTTAACGGGTCCTTAACAGGTTAAAGTGACCCGACCCATTATTACCAGTTAAGAAATTTTTTTTTTTTTTTTTAATTTGCACATACCACACATTACCGCATAAATATTACTTCAAAACATTAAAACATTTGTCGTTTAAGTACTATATTTACACTCGAAAATAATAGCCTAATAAAAAAATAATACATATAAATGTGCAAGGATATGCAAAATGAAAGAGTTTTTGTTTTCAAGGTTGTAAGCCTTTCTCAAAAGTTTAAACCTCCATTTACAAAATCTTCAATTTACATCGATCATCATGAAATTGTATTGGAACTTTGACTTGATCTATTGCGTTCAAGAGTTATGTTGATGATGTTTTCAGTAAAGTTTTCCACGTCAAAATTCTCTTCTGCATAAACTATGTATAGAAAAACCAAACATTAAAAATCATTCAAATTATGAGAAGTTTACCAAAATAATTATGAAAAAAAAAAAAATAATAGTACTATACCATATAAAAATATATTACCTCATTTTCCAAATAGCCAATCTCGTATGCACAACAAAGCTTAAACTGTTTATGGTAACAATGAACTACGATACTGATCTAGTACTCTGCCCCAATACTAAATGCAGATTCTGATGCAACAGTTGAAATAGGAATTGTTAACACATCTCATGCTAACTGAGAAAATATCGAATAATGAAAACGCTCCATTTGCCACCAAGAAAGAACATCTATGTCTACTTTTCTATCTATTCTTTTATCCTCCAAATATTTCTGCAATTCATTTTTTTTCAATCGAACTTGAACCATCATAATTATTATCAAAATCCTACATCATAAAAAATCATGCATCATGTCAATTTCAAATATAATATCAACACTTTTTATAGTACTAATACTACAATCTACAAATATATAAAGTAAATAAAAACAAACTTAGGTTACCTCAAAGATAACATCTATAGATTATGTTTGATGAATAGGCACTGAATTCACTGTAGTATTTGAATTATCAAGATGCGGAAGTTTTTCCAAGTACACACCAAAAAGATCATTCAATTTGTCATTAACCTTTGTAAATTCGACCGAATTCACACTATGAAGCTTTGTGTAAGCCCAATCCACAAAATGCAATTTATAACGAGGGTCTAAGATGATTGCAATTGCCAAAATCAAACTGTATTCAAACCAATACTTCTCAAACTTCATATACATATAAGTCCCCATCTTCTTCATGAAACTTTTAGAGTCATTCATGGCTACCTTAATTTGAAGTTGGATTACAAAGACCTTAGGGAAGAACAAATTTGATGTGGGGTACTTTGTCCCTAGAGAATAAGCAGGTAACCTCATAAAAGTACCCCAAAAACTTGGAAATCTTCATTATTTTATCCCACTCTTTAGAAGATGGACAACTAGTAAAATTGGAATCACTCAACCCTAAATGAATCAAAGCATATCGATAGAAAATTGCACTATCTAGCATAATATCGGTTGAGTTCCATCTAGTAGGGACATCTTGTCTCAACCCTCTCCTACTATCCAATATCCCTACTTGTCTAACACATTCACAAAACTTTAGTTTCCTAGCCTCAGAGCCCTTTATATACTTGACGCATTCACAAATTTTTATCACTGAAGAATCAATTTCTTTAAGTCCATCTTGAACTATCAAATTCAAGACATGAGCACAACAACGCATATGAAAGAAGTCACCATTCATCACGAGAAGACTTCTAAGATTCAATTGATTCTTCAAAATGCTAACAAAAGAAATATTTGAAGAAGCATTATCCAAAGTAATAGAAAATAACTTCTTCTCAATCCTTCACTTAGTCACCAATGCATTAATTTTCTCAGATAATGCAACACCAGTATGAGGAGGAGGCATGTGACAAAAACTTAAAATTCTCTTATGCAATTTCCAATCTTTGTCTACAAAGTGAGCAGTAAGAGCAAGATACCCATCAGTGCATTGTGAGGTCCATAAGTCTGATGTCAAACAAATTCTACCTTCAACTGAGCCTAACAAATTATGAAGCCTTTGTTTTTCATTTTTGAACATCCTCAACACACAAGCTTTAATTGTATTTCTACATGGTAACTTAATATCAGGAGATATATATGCAAACAAAGCCCTAATTCCCT